TCATCTTGAAAATGGCAACCTTTTTCTTTTTCTTTTTTTTTTTTACATATCTCTTTAATAGATTTTTAAAATAAGTATCAACAAGTTAGGTAGATTGATCATTACTTTCCTGCCTGTATAGCAAATAACGAGCCTTGTTAGTATAAAATCAGAACTTCTGTTGTAGTTCACTAATTTTTTATTTAAGCTTTCTATTAGTCTGAATTTGTCTGGATTCTGTTCAGTCTTACACTGCTCTGCTTCTCAAAAAGGGTAGTCCCTGAACCAGCTGCATAAGCATCAGCTTGTTAGAAATGTAGAACCTCAGGACCTATCCCAGCCTACTGAATCAGAATCTGTATTTTAACAAGTTCTCCAAGTGATTTCTATGTACATTAAGAGTTGAGAAGCACTGTTAAAAGGGAAATGATAAGAATGACTCCTCCATTGGTATCAGGTACTTTCTATAATGTTGGTTGACTGAACCTTCCTTAGCCAACAACAGAGAGGCATAGTTCCCAGGTGGAAATTTTCAGAGGAAAGTGGAGAACCTAGTTAAAGTTAGACATTCTCTCCCCAGTTAGTGTACCTTCCTTGGTAACGAAGCATCTTGCTTCTTTCACTTAAAGACTGCTTCGGATTTTGGCTTCCCTGACACTCTATACCAGCTTGGCCCCACGTTATCTCTAGCCACACGTTATATAATGACATTTGCTTGGAGCATTTGTGCAGAACATTGAGATGAGCGTTTTGAGTGTATGTGTATTAGAATGTGTGAAGAGGGAAACAGGAAAACAAGAGGAGGACAGAAGAGCAGACAATTTCAGAAAAGAAATAAAGGAAGTGATCCCTACCTCAAAAGAGCTTATTATCTAGCTGAAGAGATAAAATACACACATTTATAAAATTATTTAAGAAAATTTACAAAGCACAATACTAATGCATGTACAAGACAGTTTACAAACTTCCTACCTAAGTATTATAGAAACGCAAAGTTCATTTCTTTATTTTAACAAGTATTTACTGAGCATCAATGACAAGCTTAGCACTATGTTAGACATAACCTAAGTTATATGGACAAGTTATATCAGAGCAATCTTTCTAAACATTCTAAAGATGGTGAATGTTGACTCCCATTTTGAAGAAAATAATATACCATGAACCAGCAGAAAAAGGAAGTCATTCAAAATACAACATTTTGTATTAGAAAATATTTATTGTTTCATTCATGGATTCATTTTTCTAAAAAGATTCTTAGGAGCCACACTCATTCATTTCTTTCACTTGTGAATACTTCATATATTGAACACTTATTGAATACCTATTTTTCAGCAGGTACCAGGAATTTCCCTGAGACAAATAAGCAAATGATTACAAATACATTAAGAAACCGTAATTAGAGTTACTTCAGGAATACATTGGGGAAACAAAAGAGAATGGGGAAGGAAGTCAGATATGACTTCCTAGAGAAGCTGACACTTGAGCTGAGTCCTAAAAGCCAAGAAGTTTTTAACCAGAAGGCAGGGAGAAGGAAAGGGCACTCCACGCAGTGGGAGTAGCATATGTTATGGAGCTGAAGTATGAGTCATCTTGGTATTCTCGGTACTTGAGAGAGTAGCTAGACTATAAGATAGATGGAGGACAAGAACCAGAGCCTTTACACATACTGTTTCCTTTAGGTGAATATCTTGAGATGCAGCATGTCCATTTCCATTCCCTCTCTCTCTCTCCCCCTACCACCTCTCCCTCCCTCGCATGCACGCGTGTGCGAGCACACACACACACACACACATACTTTTTGCCTACTTAGTTCTGGCTTATCCTTCATATTCAAATCATAAATCCTTTATATCAAGGTGGCTTTCCCTGACCCTCCAAGGTAGTTCAGGTACTCTTAGTGTATGCTCTCATTAAATTGTGTTCCTTTCCTTTAGAGTGGTTTTCTTAATTTATATTTATATATTCATTAATGTGACTATTTGATTAACATTAAAATCTTATCTCCCTCACTACCTCAGTGGCTTTAAGAGTTTTGGTTTCACCACACCCATAAAAAGACAGGCACTAAATACATTATACATCACAAACCAAGGATATACATATACAATACATATAAATATATATGCATGAATATAAATAAACAAAATAAGTTTTTCGAAATAATATTCATCTTTACCATGTGTGATAAAATATATTTTCTATTTTTCATTTAAAAAATTGCTTACAAGATGATTTTAGAGCCCACCTCTATTTGTGTAAAACATTGCAACAAATTGACACTGCATTAAAATAGAAACAGTATCTAGTTTTACTTTGGTTTCCCAGGTGGCTCAGTCATAAAGAATCTGCCTACAGTGCAGGAGACACAGGTTCAACCTCTGGGTCAGGAAGATCCCCTGGAGAAGGAAGCGGCAACCCACTCTAGTCTTCTCACCTGGGAAATCCCATGGACGGAGGAGCCTGGGGGGCTACACTCCATGAGGCTGCAAAAGAGTTGGAGATAACTTAGCGACTACATAACAACTAGTTTTACTCTCTACACTGCCCAGCATCTAGTGTGACACTTATGGCATAGAAGACACTCAGTAGAAATTCAGTGAATAAATGACAGAAATAAAAAGCCTTCAAGGGTATTATTTTAAAGTATGGTTATTCCCATTTTTATCAACAAGTGAACTGAAGTTTAGAGAAAATTTTAGTAATTTGTTGAAAGTCCTAAGGCTAATAAAAGTCAGAACCAGGATTCACATTCAACTTTTACTCTAAAACCATGCTAATTTCCCCTTGTTCAAGAGGCAAAAAAAAAAGCAAGCGTCTAGGTTGCTTATGGGGAGGCAGAAAGCTGATAATATCTCTAGCAGAAAAATAAAAATGTTTATTCAGATTTGAGATGCAATTAGTGCAAAACTCTGAAAGATAATTGACTTAATTTTCTAAAGTAAGAAAATTATGATTAGTTTTAAATACTGAGTGTGGGTATAGATGAAACCAAATTGGTAAAATGTTTGATAATTGTTGAAGCAGTGATTTCTCTATCTGTTTTAAATTGTTTCATTTAAAAAGAAAAAAGAACCCATGAAAGCAGCATAATAAGAATGCCATTCAGGAAAACTGCAGTAGTCTCTTTTTTACAAGTAAACACTGAAAATATTAATACAGTAGGATTCTAAAAAACACCCGAAAGCCAAGAGTTTATTAACTGAGACAAAATCTAAAAAGCACAAGATACAACATCTAGTAAGTAGAAGATACCTAATGTTAATTTTTTGTTCCTCTTCACATTAGATTAACTAAAGCTAGCTATACAAAAAAAGTGACTTATAAGCGGCATTGTATAGATAAGCCTTTAGGAAAAATACTGCTTTGCAATCACATAAAGAAACAATGAATTTTATATCTCCTCTCTAAAAGATGGAAAATGCTTTTTATTATTTATAAACATGGCTGCAAATATTATTTAAATATTCATATAAATAGTGTTATCTTTGCTGTGTGTGTGCCCCCAGACCCTTGCTGTATGCCGATTACAGGTAGGTAATGGTCATGATCATAAAACTCATTAGGTACATATTGCCTTGCCAGTAGTATTGGTCTGAAATCCACGTCGTATGTGAAGAAAACCCTTTTAAATATATTTATCTTCAAGAGTATTTTTTATCCAGCCATTACTGTACTGTATGTGGGAAAAAATTGGATAAGAAATTTTCTCCATCTCAATTCTGAAAGTGTTTTCTTCCAGTTTAAAAATAAGCAGTCAATGGAAATTGTGATGCAGCACTGCCTATGTATTTTGTTTTTTTTAGCAGCATTTTGATCCTTCATAAAAAAATAATGTATTGGAAATTCAGGGTGTGAGTTTTTAAACCCTAGCTCTATAACCACCACTTGTTAAAGGTACTGAGCCTCTTCTACCTGAGATACTTCATTCTGTAACTCATTTCCTTCAATCATCAAATGAAGAATATATGTTCTTCCTAGTTCATGTATAAGTCTACACAAGTGTGTATACACACATCACACATACATACCCTTTTATTTAGGAGGATAGGCTAAAAGAACTTCCTATTTAAAAGTGCAAGAGTGGAAATTATGGAACAACAAGAAAACTGCCTCCAGAGACACCAAGAAAGGGCACATTTAGAACCACTTCTATTGGTCTTGTAAGTTATGGATACCAACAATCTAACTAGTGTAGTATTTTAGTAACAAAACTTTTTTCTAAGCTAGGGGATCAGAAAAGTGTTCCAATTTCCTGAAGCCTTACCTGATCATTTGAGTCAACTTTTAGAATTCCAAGACTAGGTTCTTATTTCTTGCCATAGGTGCATTCTGATGATTGTTCTTGGTTCTTTTCATCTCACAGCTGCTGATGGCCCAGGAGATCGTTTCATCATTGGAGAATCCCAAGCTGGTGAACAGGTGAGATTCATAGGCCTGAAAAAGGCCCTAAAGATTTTAGTTTCATGGATTTTCAGTCTAATCCTAAACTTCTGCCATTGTTTTTATGGAAATCTTAAAGAAGGATTAGATGGGTCATCAAAGAGATGAAATGATGATTCCCCTGAGAAAGAACCATGAATTCCTTCTCAACTAAAAGAACCTGCCTCTAGTCATATGCAGCATGGACATAGTGTTATTAGTATATCTCACAGACATGCCCCACAAGAATTTTCCAGTCCTGTGATTGGATGAATCTTCCTTCTAGTATAAACATTAATGTTCTGAATAGAGCTACAATTTCTAAGTGGTTTTCTTAGACTTTTCCCCAACTCATTTATAAACAGGAAAACTTAAAACAAGCAAATTATTTAATCTTTCTTGCTAATCATTTTGTTTAATTTTACTCATTAGGGAGCTTATCAGAAAACAGGTATACATATATTTCTATTAAGAAATGAAGTACTAAAAAAAAAAAAAAAGAAGTACTAATGGGCCATGGTGGACATACAATAGAAGTGCTCTTACTGCTTTTGATACTAGTAATTGGTCATTTGATTGGAAATAAGTTACAAGTGGCAAATTATCTTTTAAAATAAATATAAATTTAAATTAAATAAATGAACATTTATTTGTCATTAATCTGATGGAGAGCCAAGGCTTTTCTTTTAATAAGTATCTACTATTTGAGTTTCTATTATACCCACAAGGCACTATATGGGATTTCCAGTGTTGGTTTCTTTAAAGTGGAAGAAATTTTAAGGACCTTTGCACAGTGTCTAAGTATAGACTCCTTCTAGATTTTTATTATATTTTTACAGTACTTTTTACAGTTGTTTCACCTACACCTAATTTGACAGGAGTTCTTTTTTAGCAGACTTTTTTAAATGAGATGCTCCAAAGGTTTAGGTTAATTTTTTTAGGAAAAATAGAACTCTTTTTACCCTTATATATCATTGGTTTATGGAATATTTACTTAAATAATTTGGTCAGTAGCAGCTGTCGCCACAAACTGGTACAAACAAGTTTTGGAACAAATAGTTTGCATCTTAGACCAGTAGTTTATAAGGGTCTAACAGTTTCAAACTTAAGAGTGTACTGTAGGCATCATCTTGTTCAGTAGGAAGCATATGTTAATCTAGTGAGCTGTGAAAGTTGATTAAAAGAGCTCTTTCCTTATTTACTACAATCAGAAAAAGACCAGCACACTTTCCTGCTGTCACCAAGCACTCATAAGCATTGTATAAAAATAAAGGAGGAAATAATAAATACAGCAGTTAAGCAAAAGCTATGTCCCACACCTTAGCATGTCCTCCCATATGTACTAAAAATAGAGAGGAGTTGAGGAAGTATACAGGGGCATATGGTGCTAATGGTGGCAACCCTAGCTCCCTCACCTCTACCAAGGAGTATGTGTACAGAGCTCTGATGCCGAGCCTAGCACTACAATAATTAGATCCTTATCCATGCTATACATAGGCTGATTTCAGTCTTCATGACTGTTTTCCTGACAAAAAGAACAACTAGTCTTGGGTCCCTTTTTTTATAAATAACTTACATTGTGATGTCGTAACTTTCTTGACATCTTGGTATGTATATCCATCAACAATGGACATCTAAAGCATCCATTTTTTAACAAAGCTCCAAAATATTAATTATTCAAGGAATACTTCTCTGATCTTCAGTTGAGTCTATCCAACATTTATCAAGCATACCTACAGTTTGTACCAAGCACTCTGCTAGGTTGTAGGGATTACAACCTAATCTACAAAGTAGATTAATACATGATTAATACTCTGAACAGTTTATATCTAGTGGAGGAAACCGAGTATAAGCAACTAAATATAATACAATATATTAAGTGTTAAACTAATGCTGTCAGTCATGTGCTGTGGAAAACAATAGAGAGGTTAAGCATTTTGTCCTAGAAGGGTTAGGAAAATGACATTGGAGCTGGGTGTAAGAGAGTTTTTACAAAACAGAAATGAAAAAGGACCATTCCAAGCAGAGAGAATAGTGTAAGTCAAGAGCTAGAAGTGTTTGTGGTAGTCACAGCCTAGTATACTTAGGCATAAGTAGTAGACTGTTAAGAACCTTATGGACCCTTAAACTTTATTACTAGTTATGACTTCCAACTGAAAACTATAAGCACAGAAAAAGTTGTGAAATTTAAAAATTGCCAGCCTCTTGTAAGTTCTCATAAAAGTATGATAGGAAAAAAAGATCAACACTATACAAGAAAACGGGGGTTTTCCTCAAATTACCTGGGATGTATTTTATCTCTAACAGATGTATCATACACATACACACTTTAAAGCAATCTCAGAGATCTTGCAAAAGCCAAATTGCTCACTTAGTGAAAGTACATGTGCTTGAGACCTAGGATGCCACTGCATCCACTAAGACAGTTTTTTATTTACAACATACTTTATTGATGTATGAAATACTTGATCTTAGTCCCTTACCATTTGGTCCTATTGATTAACATTCAGTATCAATTCACTCACTCAGTCGTGTCCTACTCTTTGTGACCCCATGAACCACAGCACGCCAGGCCTCCCTATCCATCACCAACTTCTGGAGTCTACCCAAACCCATGTCCATTGAGTCGATGATGCCATCCAACCATCTCATCCTCTGTTGTCCCCTTCTCCTGCCCTCAACCTTTCCCAGCATCAGGGCCTTTTCCAATGAGTGGACTCTTCATATTAGGTGTCCAAAATATTGGAGCTTCAGCTGCAGTCCTTCCAATGAATATTCAGAGTTGATTTCCTTTAAAATTGACTGGTTTGATCTTGCAGTCCAAGGAACTCTCAAGAATCTTCTTCGACACCATAGTTTGAAAGCTTCAGTTCTTTGGTACTCAGCCTTCTTTTTAGTCAAACTCTCACTGTTTCCACTGGAACTGGATGCCATGATCTTAGTTTTTTGAATGTTGAGTTAATCTATTTTGTTTATGCCTTTAACTACTTGATTAAAAAAATCCAAATGAATAATTTAATCATTAAGATTTATTTATCCTTTTAGAAGTCTTACAAATTCATGTTCCAATTGCCAATAAATATCTTAAATATGTTTTTTTAAGAAAAATGCAAATGGCTCAGATTTTAATAAATTAGTATCACATCTGGATGATAGTCCATTGCTTTCATTCTGATGCCTGCATAGCTGCCAGTCATCAAGACTCCATGAACCAGGCAGGTGAAGAACAAGTCTCCAGATGTGTTTATAAGCCACATGCAACTTGCAGTCTACATGCTGCTTCAAGGATGACAAAGAAAACCTGTCAGCTCTGGATTATACTCCTAATTAAAGTTTTAAATACTATCTAAAAAGCTCATATTTTAATACTTGCAATATTTTTACTTTTTCATATATTATTCTAGAATTAAAATGCAACTTTAAAAAAAAAATAAAATAAAATGCAAATTTTTGTGCCCAAGATTTTGAAATGACCAGTATTTTTTAAAGGTAAATGAAAGTTTATAAAACAATTAAGCCAGCTAAGTGGAAATCTCAAATATTCACTNAGCTCTCACATCCATACATGACTACTGGAAAAACCATACCTTTGACTATACGGACCTTTGTTGGCAAAATAATGCCTGCTCTTTAATATGCTGTCTAGGCTTGTCAGACAAACCCTGGTAGCTAAGCTGGTAAAGAATCCACCTGCAATGCAGGAGACCTGGGTTCGATCCCTGGGTTGGGAAGATCCCCTGGAAAAGGGAACAGCTACCCAATCCAGTATTCTGTCCTGGAGAATTCCATGGACTGTATAGTCCATGGGGACTCAAAAAGTTGGACACAACTGAGCGACTTTCACTTTGCAGGTTTGTCATAACTTTTCTTCCAAGGAGCAAACGTCTTTTAATTTCATGGCTGCAGCCACCATTTGCAGTGATTTTGGAGCCCAGGAAAATAAAGTCTGTTTCCATTGTTTCCCCATCTATTTGCTGTGAAGTGATGGGACCAGATCCCATGATCTTCGTTTTTTGAATGTTGAGTTTTAAACCAACTTTTTCACTCTCCTCTTTCACTTTCATCAAGAAGCTCTTCAGTTCCTCTTTGCTTTCTACCATAAGGGTAGTGTTATGTGCATATCTGAGGTTATTGATATTTCTCCTGGCAATCTTGATTCCAGCTTGTGCTTCATCCATCCCAGCATTTCACAAGATGTACTCTGCATACAAGTTAAATAAGCAGGGTGACGATACTTCAGCCTTGATATACTCCTTTTCCCAATTTGAAACCAGTTCATTGTTCCATGTCTGTTTCTAATTGTTGCTTCTGGACCTGCATACAGGTTTCTCAGGAGGCAGGTAAGGTGGTGTGGTATTCCCATTTCTTTAAGAATTTTCCACAGTTTTTTGTGATCCACACAGTCAAAGGCTTTAGTATGGTCAGTGAAGCAGAAGTAGATGTTTTTTTGGAACTCTCTTGCTTTTTCTATGATCCAGCAGATGTTGGCAATTTGATCTCTGGTTCCTCTGCCTTTTGTAAATCCAGCTTGAACATCTGGAAGTTTTCAGTTCACATACTGTTGAAGCCTAACTTGGAGAATTTTGAGCGTTACTTTGCTAGCGTGTGAGATGAGTGCAGTTGTGCGGTAGTTTGAACATTTGATTACATTAGAATATAATATTTCTGAATAAACCTGAAATGTCTCTTATTCAAATATCAGAATAAGAGGATATAAAGTACATAGATCAATGCCAGATCTGATCTCAAGAATCTTTCTCCAATGACTTGTTGGAAAAAATTAATGAGATCACTGGAATTGTAAGCCAAGAAGGATTACATGCTTCATGTAGTTGTTGTGATAATGAGATTGTGCATGTTTATTCATTCCTTCTGGAAATATCTATTGACTGCCAACTTTGTGCCAGATACTCTCTAGGCTTTGGGATGATAGAGCAATAAATATGTCTGCAAAGGGAGTAATTAAAGATGAATGCAAGTACTCTACCGAAGATACAGACAGGATTAAAGGAAACTAACAAAGGAATGTGAAACATTCAGGTGCTAGCAACAATAAGATTTCATTCCCACATTTAGGTCTGAAGGGGCAAAGAGAGAGAGAGTGGTACCTGGACCTGGGGAGATTGATAGCTATGGGAGAAAGCCACCTAATAGGAAATGTGGCATCAGTGCTATTAGATATGACATAGCCATCACCAAACTGCAACCCAGCAGGGAAGGAGCACAGGGAATAAAAATTGTACTTCTCTCTCTCTCCTACCTTCTAGTCTCTTGTTGTTCAGTCACTAAGTCTGTCCAAGTTTTTACAACCCCACGGTCTGCAGCATGCCAGTCTTCCCTGTCTTTCTCTGTCTCCCAGAATTTCCTCAAACTCTGCACCAACCATGAGTTGGTGATGCCATCCAACCATTTCGTCCTCTCTCACCCGCTTCTCTTCCTGCCCTTGGTCTTTCCCAGCATCAGATTTTTCTCCAGTCTCTTGTTAGCCCCTCCCACTGACTGAACTTAACCAGAAGCCAGAGCGATGGGAACCTGGTTGAAACAATACACAGAGATCAGCCTCTAGGCCACAGCACAGGACAGAAAATAATGATGTGATCTAAAGAGGCAAACAGAAAATGAAACAGATTTCTGTCTTTATAGGGCTTATATTCTGAAACATAATAATGCACTTAACCCTAAGCCTAGCGTAGGCTGTGTATTCCACAAATATTAGCTATTGGTTGCATTATTTGCAGCAATAACGTTATAGAAATAAGCTTCTTAAGGCTTTTCTAACAAATGAATTTCCAGTTTTATTTTGATTGTACATTTAGTGGAAGGATAGTTTTCCTTAATCATTCCTTTTTTTTTTAATGTGGTGAAAAATGTGTAACATAAAATGTACTATCTCAACCATTTTAAAATGTACAGTTTTTTTAGATTATATATTTGCTAGACTTTTATTAATTGCGTGGTACACTAATATATTTTATAAAGATTTTCAAGAACAATAGTTAAAATTTTTCTGGTTTACCTTTATTTAACCAAAGTGTTGGTTAATAAAGTACTATATTTCTCAAACATCAGAACTTCTGCAAATGATCAACATGCTGGTTTTTCATAATTGTCATTCATAGAAATCATATTGCATGGCATTTTTTAAAGACTGTCCTATCACTTTACATATATTAAGAAAATTCACACTGAGTGAGAGGCAGTAGTGGCAAATATAAATGACAGCTCTTCAGAAAGAAAGCGGGGCACCAGGAAAGACATCTACTAGTCACCACCTTAAGTCAAGTGAAAGCCTCTTTGGTGTAAGTGTACCTGTTTGACTTTTACTATATTTTCCCAAAATGAATAAGACTCTCCTTTCATGAAGGTGAAAAAAAAAGAAAGTATTAGTCGCTCAGTCATGTCCGACTCTTCGTGACCTCGTGGACTGCAACCCGCCAGGTTTCTCTGTCCATGGGATTCTCCAAGTGATAATACTGCAGTGGGTAACCATTTCCTTCTCCAGGGGATCTTCCTTTTATAGTCTGTTTCAAAAACTGTTACATCTTCAAGAGTTTCCTTTGTAGGAGCAAAGTAAATCGTCTCTTTCTTGTGTGTTTCTATTTCCAGCCGACTCAGACAGTAATGCCAGGACAAGTCATGCGGGTTACAACAGGTGCTCCAATCCCCTGTGGTGCTGATGCAGTAGTACAAGTGGAAGATACTGAACTTATCAGGGAATCCGATGATGTACGTCATTACCAGGTCTTATGGCTTCATTCCTGTGGCAGTATTATAAGTCATGTCCATTTTCTGCAATGGTTATGAGATGATCCAAATTTTTTTATGTTAGGACCTTACATTGTAGTGTATAGTGAATAAGGAATTACCTTAAGCTTGAAAACCTTTTATTATAGAAATTGTTTTTATGACCATTACTGGGATTACAGCAGTATTTGAACCACATTTGAGCCAAGAAATTGCATTTGCAAGCAAAGAAAGAAACTACCTCAAGGCAAAAGAGCAGTGATTTTTAACTGTTGTCCGACCATCTAGCTGAGAAATTTGCTTATCAAGACTAGCTTCTGATAAAATGTGAAGATTTTAATAGAGAAGAATTTAACAAAGAACATTTGGGCAAGTTCTTGAATACTTCACTAAGCCAAGCATTTAAACCAAATGACCCTTTCAGCTTTGGTTTTCTATAATTCAGGAAAATTTGTGCCACCAAATTGCAGTCTGGAAACATTAAATTTATGTCAATTCCCCCTCTATTTCCTAAAATAAAGGGCTCTGTTCTTTTATAAAGAAAGGCCTCTAAGTAGGCCTTTATCTCACTGAAACTACTGGCAGTTATTGAATCCAGAGGATCAGTCAGGAATAAAAGTTTCAATGGAGGATTTACTGATTTTGTTTTGTGAAGAAGTTTAAGATATCTTGTATTTTTTAATACAAGAATAAATGACAAAATATATTCTCCCAGACTGGATTCTCCCAGACAAATTTGGCCATGCTGAGACATACCCTCTTTTCTTCATTTGAAGATTTTCCTTTTTATCACCCACAGGTACTTACTTCCCACAAGTAAGGCTTACAAAATTCAACTCTTGGCATACAAGTCACATTGTCCTGCTGTTAAAACTACCCAACAAATTTATTGGCATCAAGGAAGCCAGCGGAGCATTGAAATCCAGAACACACTCTGCCAGATGACAAGACACAGTTCCAATATCACAATATTAGTCACAGTTCATAAATGTAAAAATTATGATCACCATTAATTTATAGAAATCTACTACCAGGCAAACTATAAGTCCTTCACTGAAATTTCTACAGATATTTGGGAACCTTGGCATAGTATTGAACCCATGATTTATGGGAACAGAATAGTTAACCTCCACACACATTCACTGTATCTATTAGGGTAGAAATCTCTCTCTTTCTCTGTGTGTGTGTGTATATATATATATATATATATATATATATATATATATATGTTTTTCCTTGGGAATGCTATTTACAAAGTATGAGTCAATATTTGAATTGGTACGTTTTTTAAAAGTATGAGAATTAGTGAAAATGTTTACTTGTTCTTTGGGATCAAGCCTAATTTTTCAGGAACCTGTGGTAGAAATTCATCATATTCAAAGAATTTCGCAAAGGATTTCCTGTTCCTCTGTATCTTTATATATTCTGAGCCTATCTGATAATGAAAGCATCTGAATAGCTAAATTCTATTGATCGAAATTCAGTCAGATTGCTCTGTTTGAAATTATGTGATTTGCTGTTACCATAGGGCACTGAGGAGCTTGAAGTACGAATTCTGGTACAAGCTCGGCCAGGCCAAGATATCAGGTAAGTTCATAATGCATAGGATGTATAGCCAACTTCTGTTTCTGCCATGACCATGAACTCAGGAGAGCATGGCTATTATAAAATCACAGCTCAGTCAATTAGCCATTAGCGTTCAGGGATTTTAACCAGTAGCAAAATGATTTTCTAAATTATATATCCCATGTCTGCCTTACCTACTTTTGTCTGAAGTTAGTAAAGGCAAATGATTTATTCAAAAGCAAGATGAGAAGGAGGCAAAGTCATGATAAGCCTGCATAATCCATAGTTGATCCTATTCTAGATTATCCAGAATTTCCCATCCTTACCCCTAGGTAACTGAGAATTTGATATTAACACAGATACTTTCAAAGTTGAGCATTTGTATAATTAGCTGAAAGCCCCTCCTCAACTACCAATAATAATGGAATAATGTGCTACTCTTTGTATACAAAGTTGAAACTACTGTCTTATTATAAGTAGTGTATATCCTTCAGATGATTTTTCTCATGATTGAATATGTTTGCCCTGATTCCATTGGTCCTAATTTACTCAACATTTTGTAACAAACCTACACTTCTTCCACTCCTCTGGGGCAAAGTGAATGGGGTGGCCACAGAACTGGAGCAGTCTAAGTGGTCTAATGGAAATTATCTCCGTGGCTGTAACCTCATTAGCATTCTCTTCACCACAATGCTAACAAGCTCTGGAATGGCATTAGATATTTTCATATAAATGCCTGCCTTACACCAAAGAAAGTTTGCAGTTGGTGTTTTTGACTATAATGTGTTACAAAGCAATTTGTAAAATAATTTTTAAGCATAAAGTAGCGTATTCCTGTTTAACAGCAATAGATACAAATCTATTTCTGTCTTCCATTGTGTGATTTAAATTTTTTTAATTAAAAAAGCATAGAGTTTAAAAATCCCTTCGTTTTAGTACTCTGTTCCATGCCTCATTTCCCCTTTTCCCCCTTGAGCGTCCTCTTTCTCTGACACTAAAGTTTTCCTCTGAGTTGAGAAAATATTGTTCTTAGTCATACTGCTTATGGTTCTGCTTTGATTTTTCAGACCCATTGGCCATGACATTAAAAGAGGGGAATGCGTTTTGGCCAAAGGAACCCACATGGGCCCCTCAGAGATTGGTCTTCTGGCAACTGTGGGTGTTACAGAGGTTGAAGTTAATAAGTTTCCAGTGGTTGCAGTCATGTCAACAGGGAATGAGGTAAAAAGGCGGGGGGAGGGGCAGGCTGTGGCAAGGGAAGGGAGGTGGTGGGACTTTCAGAGAAAAGCATTTCTGACATTATGTGTTCTATATTATAAATAAAATATTAAGGATTATAGATCTTACCACATTTCTATAACAAGGGAATAATAAATGGGCCTCGGGATAGTTCAAGTACAGAAGATGAAAAGGAAGAACTAGAAATTATACATTAAGAAGTGCTCCCTTCCATTTACTAGAATGAAATATTACAACCAATGGCCTTCCACAAACTCAGTACATATAAACAGAGAGTGTTGACTGCTAGCTGTAGATACTCAGCTGTGCAAACCTAGTACTTAGCCTACTGGTGTAGTGAGTCGTGCTGCTCTGCTGCTGGAATGATGGGCCACCACTGTGGGAGAAGTAATTCAATGAATTGGGACACCATGGCTAGCCCTTTTTCTTGCTTAACATTCCATGTGATCTTTAGTCACCAGGAAGGATTTGAAAATCATTTTTCTCTCTAAAGATAGCATCTCTAGTGGCATGCTATTCAGAATATGTCAAAATGTCATTTCAGTCCTAATTTAGAAAGGGAAATTTAGTCAGTATTCTGAGAACTTTTGAAAAACTTTCTGTTACCTCTTTGCTTAGGTTATACAGAACTTCAATTAGAGGCTATAAGGCCAAACTAGGAATATTGAAAAGTGAATCTGCTGGAAATTCAAAGCCTAAAAGCAGAATCAGAAACTACTGAGATTTTTTTCAAGTTATTCCTTAAGATCTTATACTATTTTTAAAAAGATTAACAGGATTTTTTTTCTATCTCTCTTTTAATCTCTAACGTTCTGAAAATAAACCATTTGCTACCATTATTTTTCATTTCTTAGACTTGGAAATGGACATTTTCAAAAGTCTATTGCCCTTATAGCTCTTTTGGAAAGGACAGAAGAAAAGAATATTTTCTTTTGATAATGAAGAGATAAATCAGCATTCTACATCTGTTTACTTCCCAGTATAGGTGTACTAATCATTCCCTAAAACTATTGACTGACCCAAAAGAAACATTCTTTTCAGTTGATCTACACAGTGATGATTTTCTGTCCTAAACACTATGTTTAGCTTCAGAAAGAAATTTCTGTTCAACTTATTGACTTAATAAACTGTTCTTATTTGAGATTTATATATATGCTTTGTGCACCTAAATGACTTCATGGGGCTTAGGAAAGCTAGGTAGAATGAACAAACTAATAGACAGCTATTTATTAGGCAATTTTGTGTAAGCTACATTTTTTGTTTTCCTTCTAATGACTTTGTAGGTCTGGATTCTCAGTTACTCCCCCAGAGTACATTGGCAGTATTTTTTAAGCTACCTTTTATACTCTTTACTAAAACTATTTACTAGTAGTAGGGAATAGTGACAGGATGAGACTAGAGATGGTACATACATGGTAGAACCTAAAGAAGATTTTGTAGTTTTAGTATTCTGCCCCCATAGACTTGATTATCTGTGAGGAGGCTTTGATAGATCTTGTGTGACCCTCTTTCACTACGTTTTCTGGCCTGCTGTACTTACATGGTTTTCCTGGGGAATAATGCTTTTAAATTCCATGATCTCTAGTTCCGTGTAGTTTGACATTCCTCCCTGTGCTGTGCTTGCTTAGTTGCTCAGTCATGTCTGACTGTTTGCAACTCCATGGACTAGCTGACCAGGCTCCTCTGTCCATGGAGATTCTCCCGGCAAGAATACTGGTGTGGGTTGCCATGCCCTCCTCCAGGGGATCTTCCCAACCCAGGAATCGAACTGGGGTCTCCTGCATTGCAGGCAGATTCTTTACCAGCTGAGCTACCAGGGAAGCTCTGACATTCCTTCCTACTCCCATCCAAGGTTAGCTGTCATTAAATTTATGACTCTCTGTCACCATATAGTTCAACAAATGTTTATTGGGTACTTCTATGCCAGACACTATACAGGAAACTAGAGATAAAAGAGATAAATAAGGCATAGTATCTCTCCTGAAGGCTTGAGATCCTTAGATAGCCAGAAAACAATAAGAAAAAAATTGTTCATTTATTTCAAAGAAGCCAAAAGTAATTACATTTGTATATTAATGTGATAAGTCTATAATTTACTCACTCAAAGCACAAGCTCCACTTAAGTATTAGTTCTGACTTCTCCTGATATGTATGGCTTCACATATGCCACCTCTTGAATCCAGTGTGGTATATTGATAAGCAGAACAGTAGCCTTAGGCAACCCGAAGAATGCCATACGAGATGTCTATGTAGAGTCACTCAGAACCTGCTCTGTATTTTGTGACTACATGAGCTTATTCAGGATGAAGGAATTATTTTAAAATTGGGAAGCCAGAGTTGCAAACTATAACTCACACAGAATAGGTGGTGTAGACGTTTGTTAATTTTGACAAACTGTGCATGTTAAAATTTAAGTAATAGCATCCAGTAGTTAAATAATTGTGGTCATACATTTCCATCCTCATGCATTTGCTCAATAAATATTTGTTGAGCATCTGTTATATGCTGAAATACCCACCAGAGGTTCTCTTAACTAAACATCAGACTTACAAGATATGAATAATCTATACCTTGAACTAGTTTCCTGAGATATTAAAAAGGAAACTCAGCATTAAGGAGGGGAGCATCAGGCTTTCTTCAGTGGGACCAGTCATCATAGTACTTCACACAGCCATCCAACAACTGTTCTCTTTGTTCTTCAAGTAACATTTAGGTGCAGGAAACAAGAGTTCTACTAGGAGAGTATGAGAGCCATCAGCATAAAAGCACCATGCCCTACATAGGAATCAGTGTTTCTTATAATAATCTTAGGCAGTTTGTAGAGTCTCTACAAGGGAAATGCCCAGTTTCAAATGTCACCATATCCATGGAAGACCAAAGCCTGGCTTTCCATTATGGATTCATTTGTAATCCTTTCTATTCCATTCACAAGTTACTATTCAGAGATCATTTTTACCATAAAAAATGCTATCTACTAACAAGTTGACCTTTTTCTTTGTCACATTTCCAGAGAAACTGAGCTGGAAAGTTAACCCAAGTTCAAATTTTTCCTTAGAGATGGAGAAAGGATTTTGTTAATCTTTAACCTCACATAAAAGAACGCACTGTCTGCAGAAAATTAGAAAACAGTAGTAAAACTAACTGCAAGTCATTCTGTTCTTTATTATCAGCATGCACTGGCAATTCTAAACAATGTCAGTGATAAAATATTCCTTTCCACTGAGGCAGTCACTCTTACAACCCCTCCTCTCTCACTGTGCTGTCATACTGATGCCAGGCACTATTCTGACTACTGGAGATGACAGCAGGAAACAAGACAGGTGAAGCCCCTGCTCTTATAGGATTTGTGTTCTGATGGAGGAGGGGGATAGTCAATAAACAAACAGTGGTAAATTGTATGAATTTTTAAAGCAGAGTAAGATGATAAAGATTGCCAGTAGAAGAGATATATGGCAGGTATATAATAATTGTAATTAATATAATCAATTATTCATTATATTCAATTCTATTGAATAGTGTAATTATATTCAATATAAATCTGTTTAAACTTATTCCATATCAACCCTTTTATTCTCTCCCTGATACAATAAAACTGGAAGCCTGAAAACACAATTTCTCAGGCTCTCTTTCCCTGCGGTCCAGGCAGGTTTTGGCATTGGGATGCATTAGCATGATATTAGAAGGTGGACACAGGCAGCAGCCGTAGCATCTCCTCGACTCAGTAGCGTCTCTCTTCTCCAGCAGCCCCGGGGACAGTGGTGACTTCTGGCAGTTACTGATCTTTAGTCATATACTTTTCTTCTTTTGTTTCTCCAGCTTGGCAACACACTTATAACCAGTCCCATGCATTAAACCCTCTCTTTTCCCACTCTCTCCATTTGAAAGAACTGAAGGAGTTTTGATTTTCGTGTCTGGACCTGACTGGCAGACAGATAAGAGTCCTCTGTTTTGCAAAGACTAATTAGGCCTCACTGATGAGGGAAACCAGAGTGGAAATCTGAAGACATGCCATGTGACTGGAATTGTGTTCCAGGCAGAGGGAATGACAAACGCAAAGGCCCTGCAGTATGGTGCATGCTTACTGTGTTTGAGGAACAGCAGTGAAGCCAGTGTGGCAGAAGAATAGAGGGAAGGTAGCACAGTGAGAGGAGATGAAGTTGGAGAGGTAACAGAAAGAAGATCCTTTTATCCTAAATAGACGGTTTTGAGGAAGTGGAACATAAAATATCTTAACTTTGCAAATGCTTACTTTGTCTTCTGTGTGAGTGATTTGGCATGTGTGAGGGAAATGGTGAAAGGCCGAGAGGCCCATTGAAAGGCTGTGGAGATTTGGACCAGAATGATAGTGGAGATGGTGAAAAGTAATCAGATCCAGAATATATTTTGAAGGTAAAATCAGCAAACAAGATTTGCCAAGGATTCAAAGTAGAAGATAAGAGAAAGTTAAAAGTCAAGATGAACTCTAAGGTTTTGACGTGCGCTTTGATAACTGACCTAAGGGGAGTTATCATTTACCCTGATAAGAAAGATGAGGCAGCAGAAATTAGGGCTTCTTCTTTGGAAATGCTAAGTTTGAAATACTTACGAGAATTAAGAGTAGGCAATTAAACATATTAGTCTGGAGCTTAGGAGAAAGGTTAGAATTAAAGGTACATATTTGGAAGTTATCAGCATATATATATAGTATTTAAAAATAATACATATATATAAATATAGTATTTAAAATCATGAGACTGCATAAGGTCACCTAGGAAATCAGTATAAATAGAAGATAGGAGGTGTAACTTTTACACTTAGACAGCTGTCCCTTCTTCCTCTTTCCCCAACCTTTATATTTCCAAGTTTTATTTTCTAATTTTGACTCTTGATGACATCATCTCTCCATTCCATAAAATATATTGTTTCCCTTGAAACTGTAGATGGTAACTTATAGATCTTTAAACTGGATATCAGTCTGCCAGCTGCCATTAGCTTCAAGAAAT